TATATATTGTACATATATTTATTAGTTTCAGATGTAGCCATTCTTGTATTTTGCTTGTTTACATTATTGTATTTGCACAACTCTGTTGCTTGTGAAGCTCGCACACAAGAATTTCACTCACATGTGCTGTACCAATGTACCTGCACATGTGATGTGACAATAAAAATGATTTGATTTGAAATACTCTGAGCTGCCAGTACTACTGCAGCCTGCTAGTAGATACACAAATGCTATTAATTTGAAAATCCTAAGTGACATCTTTCTTGAGTTATCTCATTCACAAGATATGTTTAGAAAACTTTACCGTCAAGATCACTAAAATTCAAGCTTGTCCGAGATTTTTTGTAAATGCGCCTATGGCATTAATTTTATAATCCTACATCACATTTACTGGCTACAAGCCTTTTGTCCTTCGGCCTTTTACAGCTGAGGGTAAAAGGCAACATTGATGTATACTCAGGATCTTGGATCCAGATTAGGGCTGCAACAATTCATTGAGTATTTCTAGTAATTTGATTATAAAAAATGTTGGACACAAATACTTTGCTTTGATGCTTTGTTTAAGGAATTGCTTTGTAACGCACATTTTTCACCACAGAAATGCAAAAATGAGCATTTTGCCCACATTTGTGACTAAAAACAGACCTGCAATAGAAATGTGTTCAGGGGCAGCATGTGAATAAAAGCGTTTCCCGCACAGCCTGCAGTTTTAAACAGAAACATCGACAACACAATGATGATGATGCTGCTGACACAGTTTAACGTGGAGCCTGAGTTTGTTTAACACCGCAAAGAGCAAAGAGACGGAGCCGCTACAGAGACACTGAGCTCAGGTGGAGTGAAATAAAATGTGTTTCTAGCGTCCAAACAGCAGTGCTGTTCCTGGAATCACCATGAAGAGACACCCATTAACAAAATATATCTAACAGTAAAAAAAAGTTGAATAACTAATACGACTAGAAAAGCACTATATGTTAGTTTATCTACTTATTACCATTAAATTAATTATTTATGCTGCCATTTACCACTTCTGATGGAATTGTACATATTTTATTCAAAATAGTAATAATATGCCACTAGCCTCAGTGTACTTACCAGTGAGATTTATAACACAACTGTCTTCTGTTTTCTTTGATGTACGTACAGAGCACTTGTAGATCCCGAAATGAGACTGAGAAACCACCAGTTGCAGTGAACAGTTCCCTTTTGGTAGTTCTTCTTTAAAAACAGATGTTTTTCCTTTATAGATGCTGTCTTGGTTATAAAGATCATCATTTCCTTTTCTGTACACATGGACCTCAGTTGTCACATTTACCATCCACTCCACTCTAATGACATTGGTTTGAGGATCAGTGTAACACGGCAGAATCACTGTGTCACCGATTTCTGCTTCCATGGTTTTTGGAAACTTCAAGGAGAATGAGCCTGAAAAATAAAGATAAAAATTTAAAAATAGATCATTTTAATGAGCCTTAATACAGTCGGCAGCAAAATACAAAACTGAAGATAGTTAGTAACTTGACCCTCATAATGGAGTCATAACCTCTGACAGCCTTCATTTGCAAGATAAAACAAGCAAGAGTATGTTCAATTTAGGGCTGATGTCAAAGATAAAGAAAGCTAAATATTTTCATTGTACTTGCACATCATGTTAAAATTGAAGTTAAAAAAATATTCTCTTAAATGCAAAAATAAATATTCTGAAGTACAGTCAAGGGTCAAATAAAAAAGGTGAAGATGGAATCTGAATAAGGGTCTCCTGGATGAGTTGGAGTTAGTGTGGGTTCAGGTGTATGTGTTCTTTGTGCATGTGTCTGCATGTTTAAGTGTGCTAGTGAATGAGTGAGTTGTCTGCAAGCCTTTAAAGTTGTAAGTGGTGTGGGTTATATGATGTATATAATATGCGTGTGTGTCAATAATTCTAAAGTTTGCCCTGCGCTTTGATGCTAAATTTTGTTGTGCTGATAACAAGATGCTACGATGGTGTAGATGCTGAGAATGAATGGTAATAATAATAATAATAATAATAATAATAATAATTGACCCATGTACATTTTTTATCGGCTTTTATTTTTATGTTTTCAAAAATCAATCAAGTTGTATAAATATAATACTTCATTTTATTCCACTTTGAAAAATGTTATAAAAGCCTTGAAATAAAATGGCCTAGTACACCCAACCCGCACCTTTAGATTCGCTGGTGCGTGCTGGACGTCATCACTGCAATAGAAAGTGGAACGACGGCAGTCAACGTTCTGTAAGCTGCCTAATTTAAAGAGGACAGAAAACACTAAACATATATAGGCTAATTTACACCATTGGGGCCATGTTCTCAAAAACTTACACAGATGTAATTCTGTGTAGCTGGGTTAAAGAAATAAGTGCTTAAAACAGGGGTCGGCAACCTGCGGCTCTTTTGTCCTTATACTGCGGCTCCGCGTGGTTTGGGAAAATAAATTATAAGTATTTAGCTGAAGTGTATTTTATTTGTGTTTAGTTCTTTTTTAACTTGTAGTTCTAAATTGGAAGATTATTGTGATATTGAAATATAAAAATAAAATTATATCTTATTATTTTTTCATCGCTCAAAATAAGCGTCACACTAGCGGAAGCCGGTGTACCCGCCGAAACGCCTGCATTTATCGAGACTTTCAAACCCAGGTAGGCCAGGTATGGATCTTCGGATCCACATTATGTCAGCAGCTGTTCTCCACCGTGAACTTTGTTAAAAACAAACACCGCTCACGCCTCACAGATGACAGCTTACAGTCCTGCGTAAAGATGAAAGCCCCGATTTGCAGACGCTGTGCGCAGAGGTTCAGGAGCATAAGTCTTATTGTAAACATATCACGACAGACCCGACGATGTTTGCATGAACATGCTTTTCAGCATCTCTTTATTGACCACTTTTCACACATGGTTGCTGTACGCATACAGCCGGCTGCAGCTTTGCAGCTCACAGCTCGACACACACCAACACAACAGCAGAGAGAGCACAGACGTTAAGGCGGCGAGGCGTGATTGCGGGTGCCGACCAGGTGCATCCGACTCCCCTTGCAGTGGCGCTGCAGACCACGCCCCGCCACACACATTAACCAGGTAAAATACATATTTAGGCAAAATTTTGCAAATATCTATTTTTCATTTTTCAGCAGCATAGTGCTTTTTTCCAATTACTTTTTAAAAGTCAGGTCAAGGCTCCAAAATCCCAAAGGCGATATAAGGCTGGCAGCTCACAACAGTTTTTCTTTGCTATGTGGATCATTTTAGTTCAGGTTGGTGTCTTTCCTTTTGTTATATTTCTTTAAGAGTTCAAAATGTGTTCATTACATAAATAAAATGTAATTTTCTCTGTAGCACTTCATGGATTTCATAAGCAACACACCTTAGTTGCTCTGTGGATTCTTTTAAAAAGCAGTTAAAAACTTTTCTGTTCAAACAAGCCTTTTGTTGATCTACGTATTTTATATTCTTTACATTATTTACATTTGATCTTTTACATATTGTGTATAATGTCTATTGATTGTATTGTTTATTTTAATATTTGTGTACAGCGCTTTGTGACTGCCTGTCTGTGAAAAGCGCTTAATAAATAAACTTTACTTACTTTAGTTGTTCACACAAAGCATAAAGTAAAAAAAAAACAATATATACAGTGTTATCTTCATTTTAGATTTCAAAAAGTATTTGCGGCTCCCAGTGTTTTCTTTTGCGTGGAAACCGGGTCCAAGTGGCTCTTTGGATGTAAAAGGTTGCAGACCCCTGGCTTAAAGTGTTAAAAAATGTGAAATGGATTGTGACCCAGTCTTTGTGGCGCGTCGGTCAGTCATGCACCTTTTTATTTTTGCAACTTGACATCACAGGTGGCAGGTATAAATGGCTGCATCTGTGTGATGACAGTGCACCAGTGAGCAAAGCAACCACTGCAGAGGCTATGTTGGTGCTGGTCACCATGTAAACACAAGTGTTTCTCACACATTTGTGACTAAAAACAGGCCTGCAACAGAAACATATCTAGGAGCAGCATGTGGATATAAATTATGATGATATTAAACCCACATAGCCCCCAGTTTCAAACAGAAACACTGCCATTACAGAGACCGTGAGCTCAGACCGAGTGAAAAAACATTTCTTTAGCTTCCAAAACAGCAGCATCTGTTCCTGTCATTACCATTAAAACCTTTATGGCGACTGTTGTTGTGATTTGGTGCTGTATAAATAAATTGAACTGAGTTATTACAAAGCATTTTCCTAACCAAAGAATCCGCTCTTGGTTGTTCATTCTTACTTATAAAATAAACAGCGTATTTACAGCGTACCTGGCATTCGCACATTTTTTTTCTGTTCAAATTCTGGGCCTTACTTAGGTCTTCCATCGCCTAGCATTCATAAACTACACAAGCTTCATCCTGGTACATGGCTACATGTTTGTTCCAGCTAGGTCTGATGTTAGGGTTCTTATGCCTACATTGTAAGTGGTAAACTGTTTGATAAACAGAGTAGAGAATATAATGATACACGGAGCGCAGTTTGTTTATGGACAACATTCTTACAGTTGACATCCTTGCACAAAATAGCTTATTTGGGCAAATAGTTGTTGCTCTTTAGTAGGGGTGGGTTTTGATAATTGATTTTTTGATTAAATTCGATTCCAGCTTGGATAACATGATATCTATTCATTAAAATCCTGAATCGGCTGCAGTTTTTTCTCTCTCCAACCAAATTTGACTGAACCAGCAGCAAATGAAGATCCAAACTTCACATTTCACTTCACATAAACAAACTTTTGCTGTTTTGCTTTAATCTCGATAAAAAAAATAAATAAATAAAAAAAATCAGACTTCCTGCACAGCTCTCTCTGTGTACTTCAAGAACAGTTTCCTAAAATGTTTCTCTAAAAATCTCTTGTTTCTGCATTATTCACGTGCTTATTTTGCACAAGTCTACCGTTATGTACAGCGCTGTCGGCCGCTATTATTATTATTTTTTTTAATTTAACTGACTTCCAACAAGAAAGCCTCATTTCTGCTGTTCAATACTGCAGAAATTTAAACCTTTTTAAAATTAAACAAAATTGCAAAATCCTTGGCTGTGTCTCTAATAAAACCTCTGTAACTTTGCTCTGCTTCACTTCAGAAGCATCAGGTAATGATCATATGTAGATTCGTGGTTTTCTTCAGTTGTTGTTCTACTGCAGAATATTTTAAGGTTATCTGCTATAAAAACCCAGTCCACGAAAATCTCCTTCATGTTTTTCTGTGTTTTATCCTCATTTACTTGGAAACAAAGGCATCTGCTGTGATGCTCACACCTCAGATGAAGTCTCACAAGTGTCAGCTTTCTTTTTATAGATATAAAAAAAATGGATATTTACTTATAAATGATCAGAATTATAATATTTCTGACTGTCTGAGGCACAATTTCCCCAATTCAAATCGAATCGATTCTAGAAATCACTGACAATACCCAGTCCCACTCATTAGAAACAGGCTAAGAAGTCGTCTTCACTAGATGCTGACCAGTCTAATTTTACAGTGGTAGCAATATTATTTCCAGTTGTTGCTGGCATTTGATCCACATTCACAGTAAAACCAAAAGGTATACGGTCTGAATCAGTTACCTCATACTTAATAGTCATGTTTTCTAAATATGCATGTCCATTAGCTGTACAGATACAGTGGTCCAGCCATGGTGTACTATGCCAGGCTTCACTTATTCGTAGGAAGTAACACTTTGGTAGACAGGATAAAATTATCATCTTCACAAGAATTTCTGTATGAAAGATCAGCACTGAAATCACACACAACATATATAATGTAAGTGTCGTTAGGCCACGACAGTTGTAAGATAGCACCCGAACAGATATCTGATACGTTAGCACCAGAGGGAAAACGTCCCTGCTGGATCTGCTTTAGCTGTGTCATGCTTAAGCTAAAAGCTATGCTAAAAGCAGTGAGACCATCAGAAAGAAGGCTAGATAAGTATGTACTCACTCCATCAACCTTTATAGAAAGAATCAAATTCAGTTCACCTGGCTCTAAATCCGTCGCAATGGCATCTCCAACAAAGAAATGTAGCAAAAGCAGAGGTATACGGTTCAAATCCATTATCGGAGAACAGGTGACAACTACAGCCCAAGTGCTGGGCTGACTGACAATCTTTGACCCGGAAGTGGCGCTACCTCAATTATCAATGAGCTTCTTGTTGCATTACCGCCACCAACTGGTATGGAGTGGACAGGAACGTCTCTCCAAAAAAAAAAAAAAAAACCCACAGAAAACAAAAAACAAACCATCAGATTCTCCCAAACAATTTACTCTTTTAAAAACTGGAAAAGGGACTGATAACTTTAACTTCTTGAGTCCTTTTGCAGTAAGTCATTAAGATCCAGTTTCATTTTTATGTTACTGAGGTTTTGGGTCAGTTGTCTTTGCTCCACCTGATACTTCCGACAGTGTAATATAACATGTTCTAGTTTCCTCTTCTCTAAATCATCAACAGTGGCAACATGTTTGCCTCCTATGAATAAAAGACCTGTCTTTTAACTTAACGAGTGTTACGTCCTCACAAATCACGTCTGGGGGAAGGGGTGGGGAACAGTAGCAAACAGGTCCGGAAAAGAATGAAAGGGAAACAAGACAGAGGTGTTTAGCATATAATATGTTTTTTATTACAAATATAACCTTAATATAAAGAGACAGCAATGCCGCTCTATCAATAAGACCAAAAACCAGAAAAAGATCGCAACAACCAAACCAACAAAGAAGGAGGCAGCAAGCTCTACTGCTGCCGCATGCCCACACTACTCACTTAAGCAGCTACTCTCCCCACTGCTCCCACTTCTCCCACAACTCCACACCATGGCCACATCACACAGTGGGACCTTTGTGGTGCTCTACCTGCACTATACAGCGTTCAGGTAGAGCACCTCTTTCCCCTCCTGAGTCACCTGACGGTGTGACAGAACACCCAAGTCTTTGCTTCAGTTTTCCCCCTCATCTCCAACATAGTTTTGTTTTGTTCTGTTTTTCAAAATGATGGTTACATTAGAGTAAATAAATAAATAACAAACGATCATAGATAATAGGCAAGATTATAATAATACAGAAAGCAAATGCAATTTGTCTTTTTTCACAGCCATTGCCCACCAGTATCGCCATTATGAACCTGTATGATCTCTCCCTCTGTGCAGCTACACTCAGCATCACCTCCAACAGCCTGAAGTTCTTCCAGTATGACAGAATTAAAGTGAAGTGTGTGGCAAACTCCACTGGCTGAGAAACACTGGCTCAAAGACTGAGGAAAGCACATTTGGCTGGGGAACCCCAAGTGAGTCGTCCTGCATCATCGAGGATGCCTATGTGTGTTCTGGTGTTGTGTCTGACAATGAAAGGTAAAAGAAACAAAGACCTCCAAGTCATTACTTTGCCCGCTCCAGCTCCTACAACTAAATGCAAACAGTATGGAAGAGGGTTAGCTCGACCCACTACAACTTCCAAGCTAGCAAGAACTATCTATTCATGCTAGCATAGACTGTGCCTATAACACATATGTGACACACACGTACTACACATTTACAGCATTTAGCAAAGACAGGCACAATGATCACAATAATCACAATAATTGAACTAAAAAACACACAATCAGCAACATCAGGGTCGCTAAATATACATTATATGTGTGTTGTACAGTGTCTGGAAATAAATGACACCAACCTTTCCCACAGGGGAATTGTAGAAAAGGGGAGAGGCCAAAGGGGTACACTGTATTTATAGGGTTGCACCAAAGAAGCAGAAGAACAATGAGGAGGGGCTCTAAATGATAATGAACATAACTACAGGCTTGAAGGTCCTAAAAGTCAGGTTTAAACTGGCAAATAAAATTTGTGTAATTAAAACAATATGTAATTCATGACCCGGTTAAACCTATCCGACAGATACTGGAGTGTACTGGTGTTAATCTAAGGAGTCCAGCAATAGCATCACCATCACAGTGATTGGTAATGTCATAGGTGGATGTTTTATAATGGATAGGGTAATAATTCTTTCTGATCTCCAAAAGTTGATTCTGTTCATCTGGATGTAGCGTTTTGTGGGAGAAACATTTCGTCACTCATCCAAGTGACTTCTTCAGTCTCAGCTGACTGCAGGTTTCTTAATCTTAATTATTTGCACAATTACGATTAAGGAACTGACCTCCCAGCCCTTCCTTCAGTGGCTGCTTTCAGTCATTATGCAAATGTACTGTTTATAAGATTGGGGAAACCTGCAGTCAGCTGAGACTGAAGAAGTCACTTGGGTATTTTTATTATATTATTGGATATATGATATTATTGGAATTTCCTGCAGAAGATGACATCATCCACAGTAAAAGACAGAAAAGTGATGCGCTCGCACATTTTATCCACAAAATAAAAAGTGCAGGATGTCTTCCCCCTGCTAAATATCCCCCATCAGAGGAGCAGGTGATATTCATGGTCCACTATGTTCAAAGAAAGTAAAAGAAAATTGATGACAGTACACACAATATTCAAATTGAGGTTTTAAATGGTGCATTGATTTGTAATCAAAAGCATTTCAATGACATCACCACCAGGGTCAGCTGTTGGTCAGTTGGCAAGGTCATATCTGTATGATTGATATATGTGAAGGGAAGAGACTTCTTCTCTCCCCATCTGACAAAATTAACCTTTTTGTCTCCGTATTCATCCATTCAGATTTAACAAAGTCTCTTTCACAGCTCTTTACTCATCCAAGCTACACTAATGTATGCAGTGTTGGAAAGATTTCTTTTCATCTCTACAAGGTTAAAGATGAATGTGAAATGTCGCATGTGTCCTGAGTTCGAATATTTTAAACTGTGAAATAAGGCTGAAGAATACAAAAAAAACATTGACTGGAAACAGGAAATATAAAACTCACAGCAGTTATCTACAATGATTACTGTGAATAACCTTTATTGATGTAATTTGGATTAAAGAGGAATGTTTTTACTGCTGTACAACCATCAAAGCAAATATGTTGTAAGTAAAGTGATTAACCACTAGGTGACACCAGAACATTTTGATGTTAAACTTTAGCACAGATAACATGCACAACCTTAGCCTAAATAAATGCAAAGGTCTTGCATGTCCAGCATAGGGTACTTGATGGTTTTCTTTTAATGTTATTTTGGGGGTGTGCGTTGTGTATGTGTGGGCAGGCAGTGTCAGGATGTTTTTTAAATGTGTTAGAGTTTTCTTAGAGAAACAAAGTCATCTTTAAAACAGGATGATGATCGCACCAGTCTGCCTCATGATCAGTAAGAAAACTGACTTTTTATTCCATATTTGTCAACAACAGATCTTTGTTTGTTTCTACAGGGAGTGCAGAATTATTAGGCAAATGAGTATTTTGTCCACTTCATCCTCTTCATGCATGTTGTCTTACTCCAAGCTGTATAGGCTCGAAAGCCTACTACCAATTAAGCATATTAGGTGATGTGCATCTCTGTA